AGATACTGTAAGATAGTATTTATGTTTTTTGATAAAAACATTATTTATTTTTATGTTATATTGCCTAAACACATTATTTAACCAATTTTTGTTATAGTCTCATGGCATTGGTTTCAATTTTGTTATTTTTCTCGCATAATTTAATTTAAATAATACACTGATTTATATGATTTTTGTACATTTGCTTGCATGAAAGAAAATATATGTATAGAAATTTAAAGTAAAGTTTTAAATACGCGAATATAAGATTACTATTATGAAAATTTTGAAACTAATCGAAAAATATCCTAAATACAATTTACGTTACTTTGTTTGTTCTCCCTGCGCAACAATTTATATGTATGTTATTTACACCTGGTGGAGTAAAATGACAAGAGTATCCCTAAGTTGTAGCGTTAGATCAATGAAAATGATTTGTACAAATTTTTGTTCAAGGAATGTAGGCTTAAGTATAGTCAACGCTTAAATTTAAAAGGTGATAAGAATATTTATAAGTTTTTGGTATTGAAGTATCTTTAACTAAATTGCGTTAATCAGACTCAAACTTAATGCTAAAGTTATTTTGAGTGTAAACAAAAATCTGTTCTTTACTGCTAATAGTATACTATATATATATATTATCTATCTTGTAAAATAATTGTAAAGTGTAAATGCAGTGATGAGTCTTGATTGATAATGATATGGCAGATTATTTGTGCTGTTATACTTGGCAGTTTGATCTGAAACATTTTCTATCCTTAAATGTGTCAAATATTACAATGTTTTTAAGTAAAGCTTGTTCGTGTTACATTAGTGGGATTGTGTACATCTTGTCTAAAAAATTGTGTGAAATTTACCATTCATTGCACCAACTCTGTATAAAGAAGTTATGACAAACTATCATGATGTTGACATATTACTTGTACAATAAATTGAATAGTTTCAAATTTTATTATGTGTAAATGGAATACAACATAAAATTAATTGTAGCAGAGAAAATAGTTAATCTGTAGCTGAATATGATATTTCATATTGTAAGGCAGTCTTTTCAAAGCTGTGGTTTGTGAACCCTTTTAGGGGTTCTTAGAAAAAAATCCCATAATGGCAGAAGTAAAAATGTTTGAACACATCCATTACACTGAGTAGATTATAACTTCAAGACTCCTCATGAAAAATGGAAAAGTGAAGAGGATATTTTTTGCCACTTTTTAAAATTAAATAGACTAGTAGTCTTGTTTTTAAAATTAAATATGAAGAACAAGTTTAGGCTTAACCCAAAGAGATACGAGTTACAAAAGTGAAACCTTGGAAGAGTGTTGCTGTTTTCATAATATAATAATAAATATTGTGTATTAAAAGTGATATAAGAAAAACAAATTTTGTATTTCAAAGATCAATGTTTTTATAATTTATCCTAGGTAAGAGAAAAAAACCCTGGAAAATATTTGTTTTTAGAGAGGGTTTACAAGATTTGGCATTTTCATTAAAGGTGATTACAGGATGTTAAAGTTTGGAAACTACTGTTGTAAAGAATAGTGAAATAAATATTCTTGAAATAAAGGTGTAATAAATATTGAAATATATAATGTTTTATTATGTGCTTAGACTGCTGAGAAGAAACCCATTTTGAGACAGTAAAGTTTGAAAATTGATTGAATGGGTAATGAAGAAAATTTATTGCAAGCTTAATGGAGTAACAAATGTACAACATCTCAACAAAGTTTTTTTTCATCTTCAAACTTATTATAAAGTTTTCTTCATTACCCATTCAAGCTGTCTTCAAACTTTTCATGTACTAAATTGATAAAGTTCTGTATTTCTTTCTGCTGGTAAAAAAAACTATTATTTAAATTATGAGGTTATTTACAAAAATGTGATTTACTGGCTTCAGGAAGAGGATGAGGGATATGTGACTTTTGTAACTCTTTTTCATTCACGTGTATATTTTTTGGAGCTTGTGATAAAGTAAAGCCATCCAAGCAGTGTGATGTTTCTAGTGGTAGGGCAAATATGATTTTAGGTTGTTTTTACAGAAATATTGAATGCAGTCTAAAGAAGTTATAATGTCATTGTATAGGTCACTGGTTAGGCTACATTTGGAATATTGTGTTCAGTCTTGGGCTCCTCGAATTGTTGGAAAGGGTTACTAGAATGAGGAGAGGCTGAAATCTCTCAAAATGTTTTCTCTTGAAAAAAGAAGAGTTATGGGGATCTGATTGAGGTGTTTAAGATTCTAAAGGGAATTGATAGTGTTGGTGCATCATCTTTTTTTATATTTAACAGTGAGAATAGTAGGACTAGGGGACACAAGTAT